AACCAATTTGTTTAACCAGAAAATAGGAATTTCGGTCAAAGCTTACTTTAGAAGTACTCGGGTTTCTGATAATCAAATAAAAGAATATCTTTGTAATGAAAAAGGAAAAATTAGAACGAGAATAGTAGAGCAATCGGTATAAAGCAAAGTAAATAAGTATATTCCAATAATAATCTGAACATCCCCATACAAATGTCATTTCTCCCTCTTTTATAGCTACTTCTAAGTACAACGTCTCTTCTTTATCATAAATAAGTCATAATGAGAAATTAATGATATTAATGAAACGTTATATTTGGCAATCGTAACTGTTTCATGAAGATTCTGTAACGTTCCTAATCATTCATACTCATTAATTGAAGGTTAACGAATCTGTACTTTTTGCCGTCTTGATTCATTCCATTGATATCTCTTCATATTATAAAGAGACCCAAGCAACCGTTTATTCTTGTCTCTTAAACGCCTTGCTCGTACCTATTTAGACTCGCGTCTCTTCAAGTATTCTTCTCCAGCTGTCGCTTTTCTACTGTTCCACGTGTCTTGCTACGTCAGCCACATAATTAATTACAAGTGTAATATTGATTTTCTCTAAGACAGATGTAACATTAAAAATTGGATGATCTCTCATGTTATTGGCTATTATCCTATTATGGTGATATTAGTGGCTAAAAAATTTTGTATCAAATCTTCATGAGGCCACTGTTTCACCACTTGTTTACTAATTACGCCCCGAACCTGGGCCTGGACATAACACGGCACTCGGTGCCTGACTACATGTGATCGAGCGAACCAACCGGCTGGCTAAATAAACATGTGATATCATAACATACTGAATACGAAAGATAAACTAACACATGTTGATATACTGAAAGATTAAATGATATAAATCAAATGCGGAAACACTAATATAGGCCTGAAACATATATGTAGAAACATTGCTTAACCTTAAATGCATGTGACTCTGTCTAACTATTATTCTAGTCTATGAAGCCTCTAATGAAGTACTAAAAACATTGACTGTCTGAAAATACTAAAGACTGTAAGGTAATGATAATGCCCCGAAAGAACTGGGATCACCAAATAGCTGGTACGAGAATCCTAGCGCTCTGAATCGTCAACCTGTAAATCATTACCTGCATCTTGAGATGCAAGCCCCGGGAAAAAGGGACGTCAGTACATTTGAATTGCACTGGTATGTAAAGCAACCGAAAGAAAGAATTATAAATGCTGAAACTGAAACTAAGAATTGATAATTGATAACTGAAATGATACTATCGAAACTGAACTGAAATGATAACTGATAACTGAACTGCACAAAGAAAGTAAGGATATGAATACCCCCTCTTCTGAATGATGAACCACCTGTTTATCTGAATAAATAAACTGCGGCCTAATATATATATATATATATATATATCTGTGTGTGTGTGCGCGCGCGCACAAACTGCAGCCTCGGGTGGGTATACGTATACATAACTGCGGCCTCAGGCCCAAATACAGGGGTTCAACATTCAGGGATTTAAAGTCGGTAACTGAGAATCATACTGCAATACATTTTACTGAAATACTGAATCATATTGAGTTACATGATACTCGAATGCTGAATAGAACTAACTGAGACATGTATTCATGAACTGATTATGCAAACTGAAACTTCAACTGTTTATGACATGGTGAGTAATCTAGACTGAGACTCATGGGCATCAAACCCAAGTCTATATTGATTACGCATTGATTTCACAAAGTTCAGAATGAAAGTCATGAACGAGTTACGAAGCTAGAGAGTAGAAGTTCTGCAACTATTCAAGGACTTGGCTTAACTATATTTCTGAGGCAATTAGTAACGTCGTAAAAGAAACATAGTGTAGGGAGAATTATTAACATTCCCAAACATAGAGAGTTAGCCTCACATACCTTAACTTACTGCTCTTGAGAGTAATACAACATTCGCCAACCCTTTCAACTCTAATTTATATCAATACAAGTCAAAGGGATTCCATATTAGCAATAATTCTCATGTTTTTGTTACTTAGGCATTTTTTAAAACACTTGGTGGCTTAAAGCTTCATAGTCCTTATTAATGGTGTCTGTACGCCCAATAATCCATTCTCTTGCTCCTAGATAAATTCTAAATTAAGTCTCAAATGGTTATAATCAACATCATTCTTTATCACCCATAAGGTAAACAACACCCTTAACCAATAATCAACAATCAACACCCCAAACCTATAACCGTTCATGCTTTTATCAAACCCATCAACTCATATCTCATGAACTAGAGTCTGTAATTATTAATCCAATGCTATAATCAATTAGAGGGTGAAGACATTATCTTTTTGAAGTTCAATCCCCTTGAATTCGAGTTCCAGGGTTCCTTTTCTCAACAATGATGTCCCAATCGAATATCTAATGATATGGAGGGTTTACCCATGTTAATAAGATATTGGGAAATTGAAATTAACTTAGAATCACCATTAGAACTTACCTTGGATGGCGAGGGACCCTTAAGGAGTTAGGTTTTTGAGAGCTCCCCTTTCTAGAGCAAGTTTTTGTATTTTAGGGATGTGGGGGACTATGTAGGGCTTTAAAATGACCCCCCAAGTGCACCCCCCGTGCACCTGAAGGCCTGACCGCGCAAAATGGCAGTAATACTACCACAAGTGCACGGTCGAGCACTGTTCTATAAAACGCACATAATATTTTGCACAGAGATCCGTTCAGGCTAAATAATATATCGTTGGAAAGCTATTTCAAAGGCCTACAACTTTCATCTTTGAGTTTTCCCAAATTTCTTACCCATTTTCACTAAATACTGCTGGAAGACGGACCTTTTGTAAACTTAGTTGATTTTGTCGAATCTTATGCACCTCACTCTCCATCTTGATTCTGAATCAACTATTCTCACCAATAATCATCCATCTGGACTTCATATGTCTAAAATATCAAATTAAAACCCATTTAGTATCCACACCTAGCCCGAATGTACAGGGTGTTACAACAATGAGGCAAGGAATCAGGGCATTCAACTCCATGACAGAGAAGATGGACAAAATCACCAAAGAAGTTGAAACCTCCTATGACTCTTTCTGCACCAAAGTGATCAACACACTGAAATACTTTTTGGGGAGGAACTAAGGCAATTGTGTGTATGTTTAAGACAATCTCTTTTGCCCTTTGTTTGTTTTGTTTTGTTAATTGCTTTTGCTTTGGTCCGTAAGAACCATCACTATGTGCCTCTGCTGAAGGCATAATATCTGTTACCCTAACTACTATGTTCAATATCTACTTTGTTATGTCTGTTCTGTCTGCACTTGCTTCTTTCTTTGTTGATTGATGTCAAAGGGGGAGAAAATATGAGAGTGAAGCAGAGCAACAAATCAGGGGGAGCAGTATAGAGCGACAACTCAGGCGGAGCAGCATTTCAATACACGAAAGGGAAGTCTACTCATTTTGATTGTCATTATCAAAAATGGGGAGATTGTTACACCTAAGTTTCAATGATTATAATAGTGCAAATCTAATTGTATCTATTTGATTGCAGGAAATTAGGAGGACAGTTCTCAATCAAAGGAAGTCAAGATGTCAAGGATATCATAAAGGAAACAAGATCAAATGCAGCAAGAACAATGCTAAATTAAAGGATGTCAAGGTCATCAAAAAGGAAACAAGATCAAGTGAAGCCGCTATGGAAGACAATCCTTACTTCAAAGATTGGTTTGGAATCTGAAGATTCTGAGGACTGATCGATCAAGTAAAATCACAAATCACTCCCTTGATTGTGAATGCGAAAAGGAAGGAAGTAAATGAATCCAGCCCATCTCTTGAGCAGGATTTTGAGGCACCCCTTGGGTCAAAACTCTTAGAATATTTTGTGCCTCAATAGAAGGGCAATCTGCAACGGCTACTCAAGACTCTCATATAAGAAAACTAGCAGACTTAAGAATTCGATCACGCAACTTACCACTGTGTTCTATACCTTTCTAGCTCTTAGCACAAACATTGTATTCCTGAGTTTACTAGTGTCTCAAAAGATAGGAAGTGTTAGGAAACAAAACCAGAGTTGTGTCAAGTTTGAAAAATATTGTTGCTGAAAATCGTTGATGGCAAACGATCCAAAAACCACTACTGTTGTAACAAACTATAAGATTTAAGAGAACCTTTGTGACCCGAGGGAACCGGATGTAGGTATCACACCAGTACTGAACCAGTATAAAACTCTTATGTTCTCAGCTTTTAAATTCCTCACAATTTATTTCCATTGCCAATCAAACCTGCTGATAAAGTGAAGTCGACTAATTCCTCTCGGAGTCGACAAAGTTTTTAATTTACTTACAATTCACACCCCCCCCCCCCCAGTACTTTAGCTATCTCATGAACTGAACATTTGTAGGTCATATGATCAGTGGAACATTTACTCAATAAGAGCACCCTAGATATATTCGCCTTTGTAAGTGTCGAAGTAGACCGCTTTGTATTAAAATTGAGCTTATTCTAAAAATCGATCATGAAATCACAATGCCACAAGTCTAATATTGGCTAATAATATATACTTCAATCCCGCTTATTACATGTAATTAGCAATGATATTTTGATCTCCCTTAAACGGTCATATTTAATACAATTTCCTAAGCGGAATGTAAAGTACACCTTCATTATGGAACACAATCTCCTTTCGAGTTTTGGACTTAGCAACATGTGCCAGATTTCTTTGAGTCATATGATGCCGTCATGCTGTTCTATTAAGTAGGAACAAGTCAAGAATTGAACATTTTTTTAATAAAGTTAAGAATTAAATCTCATATCTTCGCATCTCATCCTGAACAATTGTTCTTGTCACATTTTCTCAATTTCACGTGTAATTTCACCAGCAAAATGAATATGTCCATTAGTGTCTTAGGCAAAACATAAGATTTGAATCTTCAAACAATTGAGAAAAATTTCCCTTGGTTTATATAATCAAACAAGAAGTTGGATCACATCAATTACATGGTAAATTCAACTGGCTACAATTTCTCTAATTGAATATATATATTCAGATGGTACAACTTAATGTACTTCATGAGTCACTTGAATATCTTCATGAAGTACTACCACAAGAAAATGTACTCAACAAAAAAGTGAATGATGATGAAAAGTTAGAAAACCATAGAGTAGTTCAACTTTTATAACAGAATTTTTTATGACTCTGATCACACAAAATGGTGGGACTCCTGTCACATCCCAACTCTTTTTTTAGAAAAATAAATGGGAGTGCGTGAATTAACCAATTAAGTAAGTAATTATTTACAATACACGTCACAATTTCATATTCTGGTCTGTTAGTTGAACTGAAGATTGTACTTGTGCACCCTCCTGAATAGTAAGAACAACATGTTGAGAACAAGCATGTATTTTTCTGCTTTGTGTTGCTTCAATATTGGATTCTTTTGATGAATCTACCTTTGTATCTTTGCTGCTAAAATGAGCTAAAGAAGCAAGCTCATTAACAGCTTCTGCAATTTCTTCGACACAAATGACGATATCGGTTAGTATTGATGCAACTGCAGCCACTGGAATGACTTCTAGTAAGTTAATATCTTCCCAGAAGCCTGATATGAGAAGTGATTTGAGGTTCTTGGCTGCTGTTTTGGCGTTTGAGACATGTTTATTAGCTGACAAGGGAGAAGTCATTGTTTTTATAGAACGTGCTAGTTCTTTTAGTGCTTTCCCAGATTCTATGCTCATTTTTGTTGTTATTTCCTTGATCTCTTCTGGTGCCTGCAATGGAGTTTAGTAGCTTATGTTAGTTCAAATATAAGAGTTTTTCAGTAGCTTCTATGCATTGATAACTTACACTATCACGTCACATAGCTACTACAAACATGTTACAATACTGATAGTATAAAAAAATCTTTTGTGTATATATAATTAAAATTCATTCTAAGGATAGGTAAACTTTGAATATATATATATATATATAATTTACTTTAAGAAGTTGTTAATTACTTTGATTTCAGAGTTGATATAGCCATTGAGTGCGTCAACCCTGCAAGCACATTGCCTAGTCAGACTTCCAATTTTCAAGTACTGTTTCCATGGATGTCTATACTTAAATTGCCCGTGCCCTGGCTCCCATCTTGCAAAATTAGCCTGAAAAAAAAAATTAAGAATAATGTAAGATAATACTTCAGTTAATTAGTAGAAAATAATTTTTATACTTGTTCAAGTTTGTCTCACCAAAATTTCTTCAGCATTCTTTGAATTGAGAACACCTTTGTACTCGGCCATGTATGTTTTAGCATCTTTTGATTCTTCACCCTCTGTTGATTTAGAAATTTCTTCTCCAAATCCTGCAATTTTCATTAATATGTATAAAGTTATAATAACCTCTCATCTAAAAGAGGATTTTTAATTTTCTATATTTGTGAGAAAATGCCAAATGTCTACATACAATGAACAGTGAAAAGAAAAATAGGTGCACTAATTCATATAGTTTCTTTTTCTTACAATAAGTTGCATTGTATTTATCGTGTCGCTAATATCACTAGACTATAAGCGATGAAGTTAGCATAACAAAGTTTATGAAGGCGTAGTAAAAGTGTAGAGTTTTTACCTTCTAAGAACTTGCCAAGCTTCTCCATATTTTGAGCCACTAATTGGTGGAGATCTTCACCAGCCCAGACAGGGCAAACAAAGATTGAGACAATAACACAAACAGAGGCACCAATGAGTATAGTGGACAGTCTTTTATGAGCCATATCCACTATTTCACCCACTCGGAAACCAGATATTGAAACCAAACAAAATGTCAAAATGAAAATTAGCATCCCATAATCATATCTGGCCTTCACTTGAGGGAAGAATCTTATGAAAGTTGACGTAAATGCTGCAAATAATTAAATAAGAAAGGATGAAATTGTGATGTTCTGTTGGAACTTGATTGTAAATATATATATATATATATATATGAATAGTTAGGTAGGCTAAAAAATATAACCTTGTAAAAAGACAAATAGCCCAAGAAGTATTGGCTCCGCAACTTTACCAGTTGCACTAGCCAAATAATGTGCTCCAACCCCTAGTGCACCAGCTAGCAAGGTTGCCATTCCCCTATTTAACCCTTTTCCAAGTGTTGCACCTGAAAATATTAAGTTACAAATTAATGATTATTTGTTTTTACTTTCATATGTCAGAAATTAATATCATGACATACTTAAAAATACAAGTTCAAATGTTACTTTTTATACGTGACAAAAGTCAAACATTGTCATATAAGATAAAACGAAGGAAGTACAATATAACTTACCAACAGAAAACTCGAAGACAACGACAACAGTCATTATAGCCCACATTGCGGAAACGCCAAAATTATTATAAAGGGCTTGGAAGTAGTAGAATAATGAAACCAAAGTTAGTGCCAATCCAACTTTAAGTGAGTGAATCACTCTTCTTGGATCATCTTTGCCAATTTTCTTGGTTTGCTTAGCAATTTCAACTAGCTTAGCAAATAATTTTCCAGGCAAGGACTTAAACCACATCAATCCATTGGTGAAACAACCAGCCTTCTCATGGCTTACAGATCCTATCTCCATAGCTAAACAATAGGAGCAAAATTTGCATGAAAATGCAAATAATCCAAAAATAGAAGAGAGACAAGAAGCTAAGATAGGAACCAAAGAAGTTTATGGCTTACTAAGACATGTTGTCTGCTGGCTTCATATTTATAAGTAGAGAGGAATAAAGGAATAATGGATGCTGACAAAACAGAAAATATTTAAAAATTGTAAAATGTTTCATTTTAAAATGAATATGTTTTGGTGCCACTTTTTTGTACGATGGAAGTACAAGGAAAGTTCATCAAAAAAAGAGAGGTTGAAAAATACTGAAGTTGAAAGATGCGCTAAATAAAGGTCTAACTTTTTGGATCGTGTTCTTTCTTTTTTTTTATATATTATTTAATAATTTAATTATCCATCTGTTATCCACAATATTGAGCCTAACGAGTAAAAGTGAAAGTAGTTTTCTAGGTTTCACGAATACAGTTGTTTTTAGGTTACCTTTGAATAGCAATAGGGATATTTAGAAGAGGGCAAACCATATTTTGGGATCTTTAGTTGAACTTGACAAAATAGGAAGTGGTTGGCCATATAGCAATTGGTTGAGATCATTGTACTATGATCAAGTTGAAGATTTTTCAAGTGTTGTCGTGAACTGTTATGCATTTTGATAGATATAATCGTGCGATCATATCAGACACGGCCGTGTCCTTGGCTTTAAAGCTTAGTTGGAATAGTTGCATGCATTTTTCCCTTAGTTCTTGGCTGAGATTAATTTTTACTGGTGTTTTGACTATTCATAGTGGTGGCTGACATGGCATTGACTTGGAGTTAATCCACTTAGGAAGGGTGAAAATTTATGAGTCTATTGGAGACCGTTAAATATGTCACGATTTTCACCAACAGAATTACAATATAAAAAATATTTGTATTTCTGCAAGAGACTATTTTTAATTCATGGTTCGAACATGATCACATGGTAGTAACTTTACCAGCTATATACGCCAAGGCTCCCCTTTTCATGATAATCAAGAAAATTTAACATATAGAATATACTACATAATGTAATTTTTTTACGAAGGAATGTTACAAAAAAAGATGACATCGCCACTGGTTAGATGATATCAAAAAGCATGAGATCTTGAAGAATCATGGAGCACTTATTGTTTTTTTACGAAAAATTATGATACACAAGTTAGAGAAAATTAGATACATGAACACAGGATCTAACAGAGATCAGTTACGCCTAGCTACGTTCTCTGACAAGATGGCAAAGCAAAATCCATTAAGATGAAAAGAAGAATGGTTACAATGATGATCACTAGCTAATTCTACCTAGCAATATGCTTTTCCCAAATCCACACCTGATTTAGGAAAAGTTACTTTCAAAAAGAAAATTAGGGTGATATAGGGTTGGTTTGAGAGTTTGGTTGAGGATCAGTTGATATTTGTCACAAATCTTTAATTTGGAGAAATTTTAGGACTGAGAAAAGGGGAATTCTCTCACAACCTTAGCATCCAATCTAGCTTGTTGAATATTACCAATCGAGTTCTAATTACTAATGCATAATTAGCTATCTTGGAATTAATTCTCAAAAAAATTCTTTTTAAACTGATTGAGTTCCTCTTGCATGGCCATAATCCGTTTTTCGTCATTCATGGCCTAACCTACAGTCTTAGGCTCTATTTATGAAATGAAGGCTATAGATTGTTTTCATGTTTTAAGTAGAAATTATGTTTGAATTCTCTTTAGATGGATCACCAAATATAAAGCTTTATGATGGATAGCTTGAAAATGTCACCATTCTCTTAGCACATTACTGCATATTACTGTTACAACTCACCCCTCATTTAACATTTTGAGTATTAATTTGCTTTACAGTCTCTGTTTTGAGCATCATATCACTGTTTATCACTTGTAGGGATAGGGCGGAGGCAGAGGGGTGCAAGGGGGTCCAGTTGAACTCTCTTTGTCGAAAAATTGTATTATGTAACTAGGACAAAAATAAATTTTATTTATTTATATATAAGTTGTTGAATCCCCTTAGAATAAATATTTTTTACCCTTATAATTTGAATTCTTTACTCCGCCACTGAATTGAGAGTGACGCAAAGGGTCTGGACAAGGTTCGAATTAATTCAAGTTTGAAAATCAGCTGATGCCAGTGCCGCGATCGTTGTGTATAAGGTGTAATTAAGAATTTTTAGGAAAATCGTACAGACTTTATTCAAAGCAAATAACATTACGCTAACGAGTGTATTTGGGCTGATTAGCCCCACAAAAAGATAAAGAGGTCATGTACATGTATATATCCTCAGTTTCCTCTTTTACATATTCCGAAATTAAATGAAAGAGTTGTAGCAAGTCCTGTGCAGTCCTTTAACAGCATATTAGAAGGACATAATTGATGTAGTGTTCTAGTGTCTACAGGATTTAGCATATTCGGGTTTATTACTAGTTCATCCGGGAACGAAGGGAGAGTCGAAGGTACGGGTTCGGCCGAACCTAGTAGTTTTAGTTCAAATTGTATATCTGTCTTTAGAAATTCTTTGAATATGTATAAACTATTAATTTTGAACCCAGTAATTTAAAAGATTTAAAATTCTGAACTCATAAGCTTCAAATCCTGACTCTGCCCCTGGTTCATCGATGCCTCAACTTTTCACGTATTCCCTTTATTTTAAGATATCTTGGAATGAATGACTTCATGCATGTCTTTTGATTCCCGTTAGCATAATACTGACTTTTCATTTTCTTTGTTTCTCTCCCTCTCTTTTGGGCAGAGAAGGTAATTAATCACTGCATTTATTGAGATGATATTATTTTATCACTTTTATAATTAATTATTAGTTTAAACTGTAAATCACTAACACCTCTATACACTTTCACAATAAGTGTTACTTTGAAGATTTTCATGGAATCATGGATAAGAGGTTTGAAGTGTACTGAGACACATGATCCGAATCTGAATTTGTTCTGTAAATATTCAATGTCTTTGTTAAGTCATCTCAACTTTAACCAAATTCTTCTAAGTTGCCCAATAAAATTACAGATCAAGAATAATGGGACAGAGAAGAGATCATAAATTTTGTTCTCAGAGGATTGCTCTTGTTCATAAGCAAGTCCTACATTTAGGTAAGATGTGAGGCTAATGGTGGAATTTCTTGAAAGAAAAAATAAATGGTTCACATTTCAACAGCATAATCCCTATGGAGGAACCTTACATCAGTCTTTTTTTAAAGCTGTCAAAAAAATGTATGGTAAGCTGGTTAAGATTTCTTTATCTCTAATTAAAAATTTCGGATTTGAGCTCAGAACTTCCTGACGGGAAGCAAGTTTGCGCCTTAATAGGACTATCCCATACAAATCCAAATTAATCAGTGGATTTGAATACTGAATTACTTGGAAAAAAGGCTGAGAACGCTAAGATTTTATTTTATCCTCAAAAGAATATTACAAGTGTTTTAAGTTTCCTACACGAAGATCGATATATACGAGAGACATGCATGATATGACACGAACATGTCCATACAATCGTTTGTTAGAAGTAGGAGTAGGTGATTTGGCATACACGTGTCAAGGAACCAGAGGTGAAGCTAAGATTTTAAATTTATGGGTTCTAGACTCTAGAGTTCTAGAAAAGGCAACTTAATTAATGGGTTTTGGATAAATTATTTTTATATATTAATTGAATTTTGTAGCATAAATACAGGGTTTGAACCAAAGCTACTGGGTTTTGCCGAACTCATACGTGGGCTTGTGGCTCCGCCTCTGTGAGGAATATATATATATATATACACACACGATGTGTGTGTGTTTAAATTTAAGTATTGAAGGTGTAAAAAATATTTATACATTCACATTACTTATAAGTTAATTATAGATAAATTCATAATAAGCATTAATTGGCAACTTGGTAAAAATAGAAATTAATTGGCTATTACAAGTACAAAAGTACTGATTGTGTAAACTAAAATTATTATATTATCGGTCAGTGTATACGACTTAAATCCTATAATTATATATACATGCATATAAAAAAATATTTAGCTCCCGTTTGATTATAGATTTTGGCTTCATTTTTTCAAAAAAAAAATTGAAGACATTGTTTGTTTATGAAATATGATTATGTTTTGGGAACTGGTTTTTTCCACTCACAAAACTTCAACTTCTCTTCAAATGAAATGCATGTCCAAATAGAACTTTAATTTTCAAAAACTCTTTTTCCAAGTTTCAATCGCCACCTTAAGCTCTTGGAGTGAGGGGTGAAGTGATCCAATCAGAGAATAGAACCCAGATATTCCTTTTGGGGTAAAGTTTTATTTCGTTTTACCATCCCAAAGTGATATAGAACAACATAAGAGTCATGAAAATAAACATATGAATTGACAGAAGAATCAATGCTAGAACAAAATAAAAGCAAAACAAAATCAGTGGGAAACAGTTTAGGCGAGCACATTTATATTAAACTTTCCAATTGCTTTATCTTTGTCCCTCCCTATCCATGAATCTTGTCAATGGTTGAGACTTCAAAGAGCCCAATCTTCTCCTAGTAAAGGATTTAAGAATTCTCATAGCAAATAAATGGCATCTTTTATTGATGAGATGTTGTACTGAAATGGGAGCAATGTAACGAGAACCCCACGTGTTGTGCTTTTTAGCTTGGACAAAAAACATATATAGTATATGAAACATATTAGGATTGAATATGTTCTTTTCAGGTTTTATATATGTTCACTTCATTTCTTGCTTTTCTTATGAAAAAATTACTTCTGACAACAAATATTTGGTGGTTCTAGCTTCCAGTTTCATCATGCAACTTGTGAAGAGATCTTTCAAGAATATGGCTTTGAAATGAAGGAATATTTTAACAAAGAATAGACGTATCTATACATTTCAGAAGCCATCACAATTTCATACTCAGATGCACAGAATTATACTTGACCAAAAATGTCAATGATAACATGCACTATTAACGCCAGGGGCCCATCGAGGAGAGTAGAAGCTACGGGTAGTTTTGGTCTAAATCATGTATTTGTCTTAAGAAATTCATTGAATATGTATAACTTATTAATTTAGAACCTAGTAATTTAAAAGATTTAAAGTCTCGAACCCATA